ATACACATATATTATCATGTGTATCAACATTTCATATATATTATAAATTATTTATTCTACTAATTTTAATTCCGTTGCGACAAAGACGAAACATATCGTGTTCGAAGCTATGTCAAATATTCAGGAAAAATCAATATCTCGCTGAAATATATATACGGTATAAAGAAATCTAGCGTTTTGATATCCGGCATCGAAATCCGTTTTCCTGGCGTGCATGTTTCCGATAACACGCTCCAATTTTGGCAGCAGCCAAAAGCGATGGATGCAGTAGGAGTCGTAAAAGCAACAGCACGAATCTGGGCTTGGTTTTATTGACACAACACGCCAAATACCCGGATTCCATATTTATGACTGACTGGTCGTCTTCCGTCTCCGTCTTCCTTAACGTATCGCTCACTCGTGCATTCATCCCGTGAAAGGAAACGGACGCTAGTTGCAAAGCTCCAAAACAGGCTGCTGCCCCGTCTCGTTCTTTCTTCCATCTCACCTTAGCCGCCATAAATTTGTTTCGTTTATACGAGCGCTTTAAAATCATTCCGGTCAGGTGTACATCTTGTTAAATCTAAACTCGTGGCCATTTAATCGCTCAAATCTTGTGGCGATCGTTAGGTAGACCTCTAAAATCCCACCTACAACGCATTTTTATATGCTCTATAAATCTGTTATGCATTATTTATTCTCATCCCTAACGCGAATGTGATCGACCGAGGGAGAAATGTACTTTCATCTTTTTTGCTCGATGTAATTAAGATACTTTACGTTATTTCTAAAACGAAAATGACAACGACGTTATCACGACGGTTTTATGACTTGAACAATTTTCCAATTTTCTCTTCGTGGACACTTTAAAAGCAATCGACGTTATATCCCTTCGGGGCAAATAACCCAGTTACCTTGAAATCTCGGACACGTCTCGTTTAGTTCGCGGCTGGATGGCTGCGATGCCGGCACGATATTCCATTACGAAGGAAATGTAAATATAATTGTAGTGTGCTGACATAACGGTAAGATAATCCGCCAAGCGGAGGCGCTGCCACTGCAATAAATCGTAATTTATGATCCCTATATACGCCCGCCGGTATCGCCGAGAAATTCAAGACTACACAGACAGAGACTAGAAGTCTTCTTCTCCCTTTCTCTCTTTCTCTCGTGTTCGTTTCTGCCCGCTCTCACTCCGCTCCGACGATTAAGAAGTCAGAGACTCTAGATCTGGGTCCAGTCGATGGGCATGCTTACACAATGTGCTGCCTTGCCTCCATAATCTATCCGTCTCTATCTAGTCGTTCTGTCGATCTCTCTTCTACTTCGACCCGTTAGTTTTCTCCGTCTTTATCGCGCTCATCCGCCTCGTTTATGTCTTGTTCTCTTAGCCTCCTCTCGAGCGTTCTTGAGCACCAATAAATTAATTGCAGAGATTTACGTATCTCGCCCGTAAACCAGTCAGCGAGACTAATGCCCGGCCTCTAATTACATAATTATATGGCATTATGTTACACTGCGGCCAATTAATACATGCGTGCGATAATTTAAAAGCGCGATTCGCGAGATTAAATTGCGTATCCTCGCGACCTCGCTTCGCGATTCCGCTTCGAACTACGATTCATGCTCCAGATCACCGAATGCACGATACATATACATATACGACGCACCTGTGTGTTCGCCGCTTCGATGAGCGATCGTAATTTATCGTCCGCCAGAATGACAGCAGTGAACGCGCGCCGGCGATGCTTTATGGCGGATATTAAAAGCGATTCCCAATTCCAATCGCTGACACTTGCACGCAACGGTTCTTACGGGGTATTATGCGTGGCACGAGGCATTTCGTAACGTAATGACAACTTGAACAATACCGGAAGTCAAAGGCGCAAACCAAGATTACCTAACGCTGTCACTCGCTTTTTTCGAGAGATCGAATCTTCCCCTCTTCCTCCCATATAGATTTCGCAGCTCGTTCTTCCGAGGGGTCTCTCGATGACTATTGCTTCCTCTCAAGGACATATTCTCGTGATCTAGAAGAGACATTCTTACGGGACGGGAAGGAAACGTACGGTATGAACGAGCGGGGGTGGAATATGAGATGCGGGCAACTGATTTATTTAAGGGGCAGGCCAGACATCCGGTTTGTCGAATTACGCTTTAAGAGTGCCCATAGTAGACGGACTGGCATATGCAGACAGAGACAGACGGCGGGACGGACGTGCGAGCGAGAGGCAACGACGTGGAACGAGAGCGCGTAGCACGTCGACCCGTTAACCCGTTTATCATTGCATCGACACGAGTCACGCGGTGGACCCTACTGGCCACTTAAAAAACGGCGATTCAGCCTTTAGTAGGAAGTGACGTCAGTTTTTAGAGGTACACCGTGAGCCACTATCTATATACGCGGCGTAAACCTCTCTACGACTATTTTGTTATTAATTCGAATGATTATCATCTCCGAGCGTATAATGGCGATTTGATGAGCGTATTCATTTGAAATCCCCTAATAATTGTCGTTAATTGCGTGTAGTTGTTCCTGGATTCCAAGATTAAATACGATTTGATGATGTGTTGCGTAAAACGTTCGAGAGTTTATTTAAAAATCGCTGGAGTGTTTCGAAAACCGCGCGCAATTAGACACAATTTAATTCTTCGCGCGAGTGAATTCGATTGAAATAATATCGTCCGGTCAATTATTGCGAATACGATCTGAAGATCATCCGCCTAGTCGACCATGATCCCTCGTTTTACGTTGGGTGCCAGTAGGAAGCGGACCGGCGACGACCGATGCATTATTAATGTTCCCCTTAGTCGTCCGTTACCACTCTCGTGTATTTACTTGCTCGTGCAATCTATAGGCCCTGCAGTCCCTGAGCAAATAGTCATTCAAGGATCGTGAGCGATTAGTCAAATCAGAATGAAGACTTCTAATTTTACCTGTGCCTATTATGTTCTTGCCTGAGATTTTCCGATACGAAACAATTTTAAGAGAAGCAATTCTAAATTTCACTCCTAACTTTGTAATTTTTTAAATTAATATAAGAATTTTTTTTTTTACTTTTCAATACTTTTCTTTTTAAAATAAGGATAAAAGAGATATATTTAAAACGCATATCTAACAGAAAGAAAATAAAGTTTCTTTCTCTTTTTATTTATTCTACAAAATTGCAATACGCAATTATAATTGTAAAATTGCGTACTTATATTTCCGTAAATGTTGGTGAATGTTTGTCCATGGCTCGTACAAAGCAGTAAATTCACGTGACATGTCTCCGCGTCAGCAGAGATCTAGAGTTGACCGTGTAACGATTTCAGGCGAGATATGAGAGCAGGCAATCGAGAGAGGGAGCGAGTCGGTACATTATCGCGAAGATGACGCCTATGACAGCATGTGGGAGTAGCTGTCACTCATTGTTGCCTGGCCAGACGTGATATACCCAGACATTTCGCTTCGTGATATCGAGAGATTCGCTCGCTTCAAATTCTTACCCTTCGACCTCGCGATGAGATCAATAAACCGGCACGTGCAAATACAACTTTTTTTTTCACGACGATTTCGATAAAAAGCGCGAGAGGTTGCTTTCGAGCAGAGATCGCTGTTTTTCGAAGAACTCGTCTCGGGTCTCGCTCGACCAGAAAAATTCGATGCTCGAAAAATGAAGCCAATGACCCTGAAGATCAGCCGGTCCGTTCATCGTACGATCGTTATGAGGAATCATTCAATGAATACCCTCTTCGCACGCCTCCATCTCGCGGCTGTAATAACACTTTGAAGCACGTCAATGAAGAGCGGCAAATTGCCTTAGATTGATCTACGATTTGTTGTTCGTATATACCACCAAGTAATTCATGGTAAGGGGAGAAAGTTTGCTGAACTCGCGTACATTTCTTTCCTTCGCGTTCGATACGGAAAATTCCAACGATGCTTCGCAGAGACGATGCTATACGATGTAATTCCGAATATTTTCTTCTTTTCAACTCTCGCGACAACCATTTCTTTGCGAAAACCAACCACGTACTTATGAACTGCGCTGTACATTGCCGTCGATCCCACGTGTATCCGTCTCGTTTCTATCCTCCTACGACGATGAAGATTCTATACGAGCGTCATTATCACACGGCTACACCTGCGGAATAAACGATGGTATATTTTATGGTGGACATTCGTCGCTCGCGCGCGCTGTTTCTCTACGCTCCCAGCAAATCCGTTGATTCGTAAGTCTTGCGCGTCCCGCTGGGCTAACTCGAATCATTTAAGTATGCCGGCAGCATTTTCGTGGAGAGATACGTGTGCTCCGTCTTTAATCGAGATCGAAAACAGCTCGACGCGCGGCCATTAATGGACCTTGTATACGGGGTGTTTGTGAGAAAAAAATCTCTTTTAAAAGTCAAAAAATTCAAGATAGATTTTGTAAGATTTTGAAGAGTAATTAAAATTAAAGTTAAAATTAATCATTAATGTTGAGACGTTCTATTTCACGATGCACTATTTTCGGAGCGTTCATTAATAATAACTCGCTTGACTGCTGTATCGTCGATTAACCGATCGGGAATGTTAAATATTTGTGACTGTATAAAATTAATTATTAGTTTATTGAGCGTGTGCCAAAATAGTACATCGTAAATAATCATAAACGTTGTGAAATTCCGTCTCATTCAAAAAGTCAAATAAACTATCAATCGAATTGATTACGTTTTTTTCGCACACGATTCTCAGTTATTTATGTAGTGTCTACGATCGAAAGAATATTCAGAGGCATCGCGTATGCATACGTGCGTGTCTAGCGTGAATGCTCGAAAAAATTCCCAACACACGCTGGCGTGACACGCGCTTCACAAGCCAGAAACTTTTACTTACACGAAAAAAGGCCATTAAGAGCGAAAACAATACATATAAACACATAATATAATTTCACGACTTTCATTTCAAGACTGCATATTTTCAAACTTTTGCACTTGACAATATGAAAATAGTGAGAAATCATTGACATTATTAATTTGTGACTTTCTTTGCGTTGCAGAGGCCACCTTCTTCGTCGCTTTCGTACCCCGGTGCGGGTGCTAACGACGACGCGCGTAGTCCCGGAAGTGGTGGCACACCCGGACCCCTCAGCCAGCAAGCACCAGCCAGCTTGGACTCATCGGACCCTGGTAAGTTATTATTACGTTACACGTAAAAAAATGCTACAAAGAGTAATGTCATGAAGCTACAATTTTGTCTGCATTATTTAGAATGCATATTTTTTTTAACGGGGGACGCAGTGGAGCTTAAGCTATAAACAATTTAATGCCAAGTTCGACGATCACGTCAGATCGTGATCACATGTGCGTATAGGCGACGAGCTATGAGAAATTTTCGGATCGATCGGTCGTGGCGAATCGATCCGTGGGATCTAAGACCTAAAGTAGGTCTCTTTCACGTTCAAGCACGACTCGCGCGGGTGACGATGGCTGAGGCGGGCTAATGACAATATCACGCGACGAGCAACGAGTTGATGACAATCAAGATGCGGCCAGCCGGGACCCCACGGGCCTTTTACACGCCCTTCAAATTTTACGAACACGGCCGTCTACACCATCAAACTCGCGGCAACGCCACCGTCGAGGCTAATGAGCAGTTCGTCGCATTGGCGTAGTTACAGAAAATATAGCGAGGAATAATTCGTCATACTTTTAACTTTATACTTTCCAAAGAAATTTGCCATTTTAAAAAATCAAAGCTATAGACGCGATGCAACATCATTCTTTTAGTTACGCCGTTATATTCACGCGGATAATTTCGTAAGAAGCTATTACATTTTTCCGCACGAGATGAGAAATATATTTTTCTGCGTACTTTTTGCGATTTATTTGACCGCTCGTTAAAACGCGCGATAACGAGGAATGTCGGTCGAAACGACGTCGAGCGAAAAGTTCGGTAGCGACGAACGAGTCGCGCCAATGGTTCAGCGCGACCGGGTTCAGTCAGTCACCGGAGGGTATACAAGTTCACGACATCATCCCATAAAGATTCATTAAGGTCCGCCGTCTCTATATTCGCTCTGTCGTGCCAACATTATAGTGCCGCGTGGCGTGCCAGTTCGGCCAAGCGTGCACGCACATACATACGTGCACACGGGCGAGAAACAAAACGGTTGATCAATAACGATCATAAACGCGCGGGTTACAATGGCCAAGCAGCGAGAGGAAGAAACGATCGTCGATAATCTCGGGGGAGAAAGAGAGACCGAATGAGAATAATGAATGGCGTCGCGTAATGCGCTCAAGTTAAGAAGCAGCCGTTGCGTCTCCTCATTGTTGTAATATCCGACCATGCAAATGGAGCGCGTATACAACGGCCCGCTTTCGTGACGAGATACGGATCTGCTCTGTGTGCGAGATTTGTCGCGGAAAAATGTTGACGAGGGCCTCGCGCGAGTTTCTTTCATCGTTTTAATTCCACCGATCGCTTAGGCGTACAAGTTTGCAGCTCTCTTATTTCGCAAGGTGAACGGCCTGATCGCTCATTTCGATCGCGCACCGATAATTGGTACGTAAATATAAATGGTCCTCAGGAACGGGAGATTACCGGTGCTTTCGAAAGCAACACGTTTGTCGAGATTCGAAACGTATGATTATGTAACGTGTGATCATTAGATTATTACATCGTCATTTTCAACGTCGCATATTGAAAATAAGAGAAATGTTAAATATAGGACAATCTTTCTGCCAGCTTGAAATTGTAAATTGATGATATTAGGGTCGAGTCTCATTCCGAAGTAATAATATCGTCTAATGGAAATGTCGCGTGCCGATGATATTTACGAACTTTCCTGAACGTTTAATTACAAATTCGCACGAAGATTACAAGGCAAACGGGTAACGTTGCCTCACGCGACACGCGCTCGTATCACTGGTTCTCTACCGGTTGATTGGAAAGTCCTTTGAAGGCGAAACTTTTCTCATTTCTTCATATATATATATACAGCATATGCATTCCCAACATTGTTAAGTCATCTTCAGATTTAATAATCGCGAATTGAGCGTGCGTGTGTCGCGCGCACGAGCGCTACAGCTAGTTCGTGACCAGATATCAATCTTCGCGCGCGCGCGCGAGATCTGTCATGAGAGAGCGTAGAACCCGAGAGTTTCGCACGTGGCTGCTATAGAAAGTGTAGCCGTTGACGCACGCGAGATCGTCGAAAGAGAGAAGGAAAAAAAATTGATGACTCTCCTGTGCGCAGCACTGGCGCGACAGGAACATGATAATCCGCAATCGGCGCTTTCACCGAGCGCGCGAGATGAGATACGGTTGTCGCATATCATGTCGCTTTGTTTTCTTACGCAAGCGCGATCCGACCAGGCTACTTTGATCGGGACGTTCTCGACGTTCCATGGAAAGAAGTTTTTGTAAAAAAATTAAATTGCGTATGGAGAAAGAATTATGCGCGGACATAAACGTGTTAATTACGTATAAGTGATTAGAGGCGCTGAGAATTTAATTGGCAAATATGTCGGCGTAAGTAAATAAATCGCGCGATAAGATCGCCGGTAACATTTATAATTATTGATTAGCGGGATAATTATTGGATTATCTCTCGCGCGCGACACGACACTTCCGTTTTCGATATCGCGACGTATGTACTATGTACTCGTGCTTTTAATCTCGTTCTAAAAAATCTCGGCGAATTTGCAATGCAATCTATTATGTCGCATCGCGTCGCGTCTCTATCTCTTTTCGATCGAGTGACGTCGCGTGAAACGTGAACGTCGAAAGCACGTTCGCGAGCTTCGAAAGCGAGGAAGCGATACGAGTGTCGAATTAATGAACGATTAAATAAATCGTTGCTCCGCATCGCGTACGAAATGTCGCTAAACAAATCAATTCATCTCTCGATGAACAGCAGGGCAGTGCTATTGTTTCTTCAATTGTCAAAACTGTCATCTCTCTCCTTATAACAATAGTTATATTAATTATTTATATTAATTAATAGTAAAAATTTCATGAAAAATGGGCAATAGTATCTATTATTATATATCATAACATTCGCGAATATTAATTAAATCAAATTTTGATATGGCCAAACAATAAGAGACTGAAATTAATTATTAAATAAAAACATCGATAGGAATATCCATCTACGCGCAACGTTTTACGACTACATGAGCAATCGCATAAGTCGGTTAGGTTATCTCGCTGCAAGTATTGACGCATGTAGACTTACTTACAACCCGGGTTACTCATGCTGGCTGGTTACTTAATGTCGAGATGCTATCGACGCATCCGGGGTTGTCACCGCACGTCGAGGTATTTGCTCGGTTCGTTTTCTTTTTTCCTTTTCTGCTTATCCACGGTCCTTTCCCTCTCATCGCGAGCCCTCATTAACGTGCCAGCTTGTTTGCCGCGAGATATCATCGTGGACGTCCGTTTTTTGGTCGCCTTCTGCGCCGCGATAGACCAACGACGAACCTATCGTCGACGGACCTAATTTGTATTCCGTCACTCGTTAAACGATAACCTTGTGGTGGTTTGCCGCGCTGTTTGGGCAAACATTTTCCCTTCAAACCTCCTCCACCCTCCGGAAAATTGCCCGCTCTAGTGACAGTTACTTCGATGAAAACGATAGCAGGGTCGATAAAGGTTTCCGAATCAGTCTCGGAAAGACTGCCCCGGGAAAAAGTTTACGAGTTCGATCTATATGTACAGCTATGCTAGCGCTACACATTGAATATCATCGCTCGGGACACACATTTATTGTATCTATTCCGAAGATCAGAGCCCGCGCATACAATAAAAATCAAAGCACGAGCGATATATACGTTTGACACCCGTTTTTTTAAAAAAAACGTTCGTCGACATTTGTGTCGCTTCGTCCATCCATCCATCGTCCAGGGATCCACTTTCATCGAAAGCTTCCGATGGAGACGTCACGTGTGTCAGCCCGGAATATTTTCCACGACGGTCGCGCTGACACGTGCGGGGAAGAGACATTAACATATCGTGTCGCAATCGCTCGCGGATATAAACTCGTTTACCTCCTCGCGGTGGTTATAAAAGATTTCTATCTCGACCTGGCTGGCCGATCGCGATGTACGGCCTCGCGAGGAACTATGCTACTTACGAGGTTAAACATACCTGCGCATATACTTATACGACCGCGAGGATCTCGTAAAATTTAATATCCCGCGCTTTTATTCTTCGCAAACGCACGGACGTTAATTTTCTCGAAGCCATCTAGTCGACAGAATACGCGAGCTTGGCGCTACCTTGTATTCTCCAAAGACGCGGCAATGTTTCATGTGCTATCGCGAATCGATACTTATCTATCGTTTCTTCTTTATTTTTGCATTAATCGTATCGCGCTCGACGATCGTAAACGCGCGGGTACACAATGCGATCGTTAAGCATACTTTATATGGATGATGATAGCCTTTTTAGACCTATCTGCGCTATCTAATTTGCATTTTTGCGGAATGTTTTCAAAAGCATTTAGATAGACGCGTCGACGATGTGCATTTAAATATCAATGAGATATGAAATTTGAATTGGCGTGGATGTTTATTTTAAAATATCAAGAATTCGAATCGTGAAATGAATTGAAATTACAAACACTTCCAGGCAAGAATTTTTGTCGATGTCTACATTATATACGAGGAGATAATGCATTTGATTATACGACAAAATATGCAAGCTGCAACGTCGTTTCAGGAGACTTTCGTTAAGTTAATAGAGCACTATCGATTAACATCTCACCTCGGACACGATTGACTATCTCTGAAAACAATCTCGAGCCGGTATCGATCAATTCTATCTTTGGAATATGCGCTATCGTTCTCGAGCACAAACAGAAAAAAGAATCTCTCGCGTCTCACGCCTTTTTTTCATTCCTCGTATTCGGACACTTTCGAGCAGATTGGGTCTTTCGATTCGACTGGAACGGGTTCTGTCAACCGACGACGGCTGTCCCTTCGTAACAACCTTCGACGTTCGACTTTCCGAGCCTCTCGAGAGATCCTTAATCGACGGTTCGTCGACTTCGTCTCCATCGTCTCGGCTTTTTCTCGCCTTACGATCGTGAGGCAACTCTCTCTCTATCTCTCTCTCTTTCTTTCCACTCGTCATGCACGAAAAGGGAGAAGTGTGTGAGAAAAGGAGAAAGAGTTAGATATTC